GCTCGCGGACCCGTCTTGGACTGAACTTGGCCAGGTGCTCTCAGCACTGGAGGAGTTGTTGGGCGATCCTGGACACGCTTGTGGTCCGAAGCGACAGCTTCTTCTAGCTCCTGGCTCCCCATGCCTCAGGTTTCAGCTGCTGTGCCTGTGCCAAGACCCGTTTCTGTATGTCCGCCCGTATGAGCTACTGGGGGCGAGGTGCTTGCTATGTTGGGTCATTTTCCCGAGCTCCACGTTAGAGCGACCAGTGATGACTTCTCAGGTTTAGGCTCCTTTGAACAGTGGTAAGTCGCAGTAGGTCGTTTTTATCAGCCGCATCAATCAGAATCAGAGCCGCGCTGAGAATTGCAGCGTGTCAGTGGAAATCCGCCAGGTTTCCACGAAGAAGATGCGAGGGCATCGCCAGGAGAGCTCGAGGAGTGCTGTTGCTGGGAGTTGGGGAGTTGGGAGTGTGAGTGTGTGTGCACACCTGAACATGGTGAACCAAGTATTTCATTTCGTTGGGTTCCCTTTTCGAAGGTTGGAAGGCTTGTAGTCTGAGGCTGTTAGGTCTGATCGCATTGCTCATGTCATTCCGTAGCTTTCGTGCTGCAAGTGAAAACTTCTGTTATTATATCCTGTTTTAGGATGTTGTACGACGCCCGTAGCGGCACTTGCATTCGGCCTCCGGTTGGGCCAGTCAAGCATTTGCTGTAACCCGGTTTAGCCCGGGCGTGTGTGTGTGTGTGCACACCTGAACATGGTGAACCAAGTATTGCATTTCAGCAGTTTGCAGGGGGCACAGGCCTGTCTTGGATACCTGTGCCTCCAAGACAGGGGAGGGGTGGTCTGATCAACCACCTGTACCTGCAAAAGAAGGCCAGCCCGAAGTACCCCTAAACGCTGTTGTTTCTGTCATTGGCCTCAATGATACTGTATGGTTGCTGTAATCGGTTATTGCGTTAGGATGCTCGAGGTTCGCTTCATCAGTGCTCGCCAAGCTTAAGTGTGTATGTGTGTGTGTGTGTGTGCGTGTGTGTGTGTGTGTGTGCAAACAGTGTAAGAGCATACTCGGGAGAACACGACAACGAAAGACGCAATGCGCTTTCAACAGTCTTGCGCAAATTCCGTGGTTTCGCGGTGTGACCACCGTTGTTGACCACTGGGGATGGGCCCGCATTTTTGAGCGGAGCCGGCCTAGCGCTAGACCATGCCAGCTGAAGAAATAAGGGACCTTGGCTCGTTGAGTATCCGGCATTCTTGCGAATATTCACGTAGCGGCTTTCGGCTGCTACTATCGTTTGTGCTAAGGGAAGCCGCAGAGAAGCCCCTCTCATGCAGCCTGACCTTTAATCTTAACCTCATAATAATCAAACTCCTCCCCCCGCTCGATTGATTTCAGGCCCCGGCACGGTTGATTGACTGTTGAGGGGCGGGGTTCCAGTACTACTGTGCTCGCTGACTCTCTCTGCGGGAGGGTTGACAAAAGGGCACCAAGTGTTATTTTAGCAGGCAAGGGGGGGAGTATGATTGAATTTTCGGGATCGGGTTTTGTGATTAAGGGTTGTTGATCATTGAGTTCCGGGATCCAGTTTCATAATTGAGGGGGGTCTATCAAAATGAGGTTAAAATTATTCATTATGATCGGAATTGGAGTAAGAGGAAAAGACTGATGCAGATTTGAGCTTGACAAAAGAAACTTAGCCGGGGCTTTGCCCGCAGGGCATCTGAGCGAAGTTTGTGGGAAGATGGGGATACATGCACTGAGCCAGGGAAATGGGGGTTGGGTCGGGGCAGCTCTTGTCATTGTACCGTGGAAATACTGTTGAGCCCCTTCTCGTGAGAGCGCTTCCGGTTGCCAGGAACTCGGCAGGCTTCGTCGGCAGTGCCAGCGAAGGTCTGTCGACAATTTGTTCGACGATCGTGGGAGAACGGTTGCCGGCTGCTCAGGCACACGAGAAGACCTCGCGAGTTGTAAGTCGAAGCACTCTCCCCACTCGTAGGTCATGAGGTTGGTTACAGCTTCGCATGCTCTCATAAATAGATCCGAAGCATGCACTCATTCTGACCCGCTACCGGGCATCAACAACCCTTTCGAATTGAATTGTACCAAGCTACCATGGTCCGGCTAGCGGCTAGTGAGCCCCGGAACCGGGTGCATTTCCCAGTGAGGTCGCATTTGCTGACGTGCTGCGCTGGTGGTGGGACATGCCAGAGGACCTGAAGCCGCCTGAAGCCAGTGCAATTATGATTCTCAGACCGGCACTGCGTTGCAGCTTGAATGCTGCACTGGGGCTGCGTGACCTTTGCAGGAGTACCGAGAGGCTGCCGGTCTGGCCGTTCCAGCCGTCTCCTTAGCCGTCCGATCTTTGTGCGAGATTTTGCAGGCCGACGTCATGAGCTGCCTCTGTTGTTGTGGTGCTTTTCTGCTAGGCTCTGCACCAAGGCCTCCGTGTTGCGACAAAGCTTGCGACGGCAGCCGGAAGAGATGCCACTCCCTTGGATCACTTCGCTTATAGTGAGGTTCCGGTGCCGGGAAAATATGTTGGTGGCAGAGGGGTTTGGACAGCATGGCCAACATTGGCCTTGCTGGACTGTCGTCCTTCAGTCTGTTAAATTGTGACGCAGTCCCTAGAAGCACCCGGCAGCGGGCTGTTAACCACGGTCTGCAGCGGTTCCATGTGTGTTGTGGTCTGAGGTTTCGTGGTGCTTTGCGTCGAGTCGCCGCCGAGCCAGCTTTTGCCCGGCAGGCGAGTCAGACTGGCTGAAGTTGAGGAGACTGGTAGACTCCGGGTAGCCGGGCAGCTCATGCCGAATTGTGCGATTTTGCATGTCGGACTCTGGTGCTTCAAGCTTCGAAGCTGTTGCAGGCTCTGCGTGGTCATGTCCGTGCTTTTGCGGAGCTGAGGGCATTGGCCGTGAGGCACAGCCTTCGTCCGTGTCGGTGTTGGCATCTATGCTTCGACGGGTGTATGGGCCCAGGCGGAACATTGAGAGTTTCTCCATCCGCTCTACTGCAGAGTCTCGCACCACGCTGGGTTCTTGGTAGGTGCAACTACAGCTCCTGCCAAATGTTTGCCAGAAAACGGGCACAGTTCACGTTTCTGTGCCCACACCGTGCCAAGGACGAGTGATGCAGGTGACATCAGCCTGCCCCTCAGGAACAAACCATGGAGATCCTCGATTGAATGCTGGCATCTCATTCTGATCCTCAAAATTCGTGCCAGGTCTGGCGACTTCGGAGGACCAAGCAGACTTGCAGGAGGCAGGTCAGCAGGCTGATGTATGGTGTGGTGCTGACGCCAGCTATGGCTTTGGCTTCCGCGTGTATCCAATTAAACCATCGCTGAGAGGACGACGAGCCTTCGGACACGCCTGTCTCTCCGGCCCGGCTCGAGGCCCAATAGCAGGCCGATTTGGGTCCTGCGGTGAGATGTCCGGCTTCAGCAAAGTTGAGGCCATCTGGTTTTAAAGCCAGTCGGATGTTTGCCATATCGGTTTAGCTGAGACAGGGAATTGATCGGCATTGACATTGACTGAAAAGGCAGCAGTAAGACACCAGAGAGCGGAAGCAGTTTCCTGGATCACTCTTGCACCCCACAGTGCTGCAAGTTCTTCGGAGGAAGGTGGCAGTGCTGGGTAGAAACTATCATGGTCAGAGCTCTCTCAGTCAAGTCGCCCAGCTCCGCCAGTGCAAATGTGTGCTGCGCCGTGCGGTGCATGCGACCACACGGGCCAGCTCGGTCCGTGCTCGGATGCCGCCCAGCATTGCAAGTCGTGACACGCGCGGCATCTGTGACGGTCCGCAGAAAATTTCGCGCAGGACCGAGGGCCCCTTGCATAGATGTCCCTGGCCCGTTTCGCTATGAGCAGGATAGGAGCAAATTTCCAAGAGATGGGCAACTTCAGGGTGACCTTATGCACGGTGCCCGGGACCTGCGTGTATCATTTTCAGAATGGGCAAGGAACTTTGAAACTCAGATTGAAGTGCTCAGCACTCGCAGCAGTGCCACTCAGGGACAGGAAGCTTGCGAGATGGAACTCTCACCGGGTGCATTCCGTCCGGTGTCTCAGCACAGGCAGCTTTATAGCAAGGAGACGGGGGAATGCTGCCAAACTGTCTTTGCAGACAGTCCGAAGCTCGTTTACAGAGGAGAAGTCACTGTGTCTTTGAAGCATCTGTCCCTTCAAAGAATCACTTACAATTCATCGTGTACTGCGGTTCAAAGTTCCCCCAGAGGCAAATCACTGACGTGGATCGCAACGTGCTTTCAAATTCGTAACTGCTAAATGCTGTTGCCTTTTGGGTGCTTGCACTTTCGCTCATCCTCAGGGTGGCTGTGAAATTAACAAAACGGGCGAGACACTCTCCATGTCATGTCAGCGACATGATCAAAGACAGCACTCTGTGTGAAGGATTTCCCGAAGCTGTTTGAGACGCAAGAGTGTATCGCTCCGTCTGATAACGACCGCGGATCTGTGCCTAAATCTCAAGGTGCACGTGTTTTCCGCACTTTCTTACGGACGGCAGCAATCCAATGTCGCCGACAGCAGTGCATCAGGGCTGGTTCTGGCTAAGCTGAGCTGCAAGAACGCATCACCTCGGAATGGGGAAATTACGCCGAACTTTTTCAGTGAATGCCGTTGTGGCGGAAGGCATTGCAGATCATGAGACCATATGAGACCATTGCAGGCTGTGCAGTACCGAGCAGGTTCCGAGATGCTCCAGCCAAATCCAGCATGCCAGTCCAGCGTGATCTCTTACCCTGTGCGGTGATGAAAGAGTGCTTCGTCGGCAAGCAACAAGCGGCCAGACCCTTGTGAAATGGCCAGTATTTGCTGATGCCAGATTTACTCAACGACATGGCAGCCTTGTGCTCACATGTGTAACTTATCCCAGATCTGTCCAGGTCTCAGTCCACAGCCATTTATCGCATTATCGCAAGAAGCCGCAACTTGAGCCACAGCGTACCTTGAGCTTCGCGGTGCTGCATCAATAGCAGCCGCTAAGCCGGCTGGCCATGGGGGTGCGCGGCCTGCTGAGCTATGTGCTGCGGCATGCCGATGCGATGACCCAGCGCGTGGATCTTGCCCAGGAGGCTCAGTACTACGGTCGTAACGGCCCCTTTGACCGCATGACGATGATTTGTTTTTAAATTTATGGCGGTGCTCGTGGCATGATTATGTCAACAAGCCGTAGGGGGTGGTATCTTAGACACCCTTTGTTTAGGAGGTTCCAACCATGGAGACACAGGCAGATATCAGTTTGAATAAAAGGAAATGCAAAGGTGAGGATGTCAGGTTAAAGTAATGCCATTGAACATCCCCAACGGCGGAAAGGCTGTCGATGGTTCACATGATAATATATGGCATCAGAAAAGCTAACAGAGCTGTAGATGGATTGTCCATGCCCGGCCAGCATTGAAGACAACACTTGCGGAAACCGGGCCAGTACGTCTAACAGGCCTCGGAAAATGCATTTGGGTCTGTTCGAAGCTCCGGGAGCTCAATTTGAGCAGTTTATGGGTTGTTGCTGAATCAGGACAAGTTAAACCATCTTCGGGTGTGGGGATGGCGTTGAACAGCAGTGTTGCCGAAACTAGGGCCGAATGCGTTTAGCAGGCCTTGGAAAATGCATTTGGGCTTGGTCGGAGCTCTGGAATTGAGTTTGAGCAGGTTATGGATGGCGGCATGGAATGGGGCCAAAGGCACCAGCAAACCCAAAACGGCTCTAAATGCGCTTGAAAACTGCATCTTGGGCTTGGCTGGACCCCTGGAATCCAACTTAAAGCATTTTCGGCACGATTTTCGGGTTTAGGGACGGCATTGAGCTCGAGATGTGTTGAAAGCAGTGTCACGTGCGTTTACGATTTGAATTCGGGGAGTGGGACCAGGGGCGAGCAAAGCTGAAACAGCTCTAAATGCATTTTCCAAGCCTTGAAAAATGCATGGGGGGCAAAAGCCCTAAAAACCACATTGCTGCATTTTCGGCACGGTTTTCGGGTGTAGGGACGGAATTAAGCTCGAGATTTGTTGAAACCAAAGCCAACTGCGTTTAACAGGCTTGGAAAAGGCATCTGGGTTTGGTCAATTGCTGTGCGATTTTCGGGCATTGAGCTCCAGATTTATTGAAACCAGGGCCGAATGGGTTTATCGGAAGTGGCGTGCGGCACCACCAAAGCTGGAACAACGCTAAATTGCATTGCCCAAGCCTCGAAAAAAGCATTCCAGGGCAAGCGGAAGAGCCCAAAGCAGGGTCAATGGAGGCATGCGAACACATAGAAAAAGCACTGCTTGTTACGACACACACCAGAACGACCCACAAAGCAAACGATTGTCGTATCTGGTAAACTTGACTGCACTTACAGCATCTGACTCGAATTGCAGCTCGCGCCTTCAAAGCACTCTCTGAGGATCTCACGCGTACATTGGCATAAGCTTCGGATGCCAGAGAACCGTACAGACACTAGGACGATGAGCCCGGCTACGCCGTAGGCCACACGCAGCAGGATCATCTATTTCATCACATTTGCATGTTATAGACACTGTATTCGAGGTGTGACGTTGCTGGTGGACATCCTGGACTTCTGTGCTCGGTTTCTTCCGGAGGCGAAAACTGCCGAAACTGGCGAATTACCGCGCCTGGAGCTGTAGTCGAACGTCTCATCCTCGCTTTGCTTCAAGAACTACTAGAGGAATCAAGGCAATTGGGGCTTGGCCGGTAGGCGTTGTCTGTGCAGGTGGATCGTGGCGCCAAGGGCTGGGAGGGCGATGCCACAGTCCAGATCCTCGGCTCTCCGAAATTCTGAAAGACATCCACTACATCCTTGGAGAGATGTGCAGATTTTCTCAGTCGTTTGCGCTAAGCCGAGTACTGCTGGGAGGATGTGAGACAAGAAGCAGGGCTGAGAAACGGTTTTGCTACTGTAGTGCTACTGGGAAGCAGCAGCTCTCAGGCACCGCGAGGGTTTTTCTTCCCGATTTGACGACGAACCTGCCTTGACCTGTAAAGTACGACCTTCCCAGTCCCAGCACCTCAGCAGCAAGCCTTTACGATCCCCCTGCATTTGGGAGTCCTGCAGATGAGTGATGCCTTGTCTGGCCTCCTTGTTCGCGTGAACTGCTTGGCCTACCGCTCCTGACAACTAAGGGTCTGTGGCAGTGACTTCGTCCAACATGACGAGGCACTTTGCGAGCTCATCTTCGCCCTGCGGCATGCAGGCCAAAAGGGAGAGACAGTTCTGTTTGCTGGACACGATCTTTGACAAGGACGGCATGAGAGTGCAGTTGATAGGATTGATTGTGCCGAATCATCGACAGTGTAGTTCTGTGAAACGTGAAGCCGGAAGTCACCCATGCAACATGGCACCTTGCACCTCATACGTGCAGGTCAGCTCAAATGGCTTCGCGTAAGCAGTTAGGAATTCCGGAATTAAGTTGCTTGAAATCGAGACGATGATCGTGAGACTTTGGAATCCGAAAGCTTGGAGTATCATCCTTCTTCAGGCATTTACCTCGAGTTTTTTTTGGATCCTCCCCGCGGCTGCGGGCTCCTCGATGCGGCCACCAGTGCCTGGACAGAGGAGGCACTTCGCCTGTTTCTCATCACGCTTGCTGGTTTAGTTCGTTGCTTTGGCTCACTTGGAGGAATGTAGGGTCCTAGAGCTGCTTGCAGCGCCATGGAAGACTTCGTGTCGTGAGGCTTTGGCTTTGATTTCAACTCTTCCGAGGAAAGATCTGCGCAGCACTTCAAACGTAGATGTTGGCTGTATGCAACCAGGCCAAGCGCCGTTGCAGCCAGGGCCTGGAAGCTGCGAAGGCCCAGGGCGCTTGAGAGTTGAAAGGATGTGTCTGACAGCCCTAACTAACGTATTGTGGCGTGGGGGGTTATATCTTCAGAAACGTATCTCAGAGACTATTTTCCGGTGGTTGAACCAGATGCCGAGCCAATAGTTCAGATATTGCTACTATTCACTTTCAGTCACTATCATGCATGTGCCCGGTAACCGCATCTGGGTGTGGCTAAGGCAGAGCTAACTGGAATTTGACTAATGAGACTGAGTCGAATCTGGCTTGCTGGGTGTATGGCACGGACCCCTTCGCAATATTCTTCGAGCATACTCGTCGAGTCTCTGTGTGTCTCTCTGTGTGTGTGTGTGTGTGTATCAGCAGACTCAAGACTAGAAGCCACCGGAAACCTCGCAACACATTTCCACGTGCTCGTTGCTTCCCTCAGCACTTATTTATCGTGTTTGGACGATAGGGCTCCTCAAACGCACTTGGAGCTGTTTGGGCTTAGTGTCTGAGCTGACCCTCGACGACGTGACCGGCAGCGTTGGAAAATGGTGGATGTCCTGTTGATGCATGAAGCAACTTGAACGTTGCTTAACCGATTCGAAGGAAAACAACATCAGAACGAATGCACAGATCTGGCCTTGTGGCATCCTTGGAGACTCTTTCGAGGCTGTTCGGCAATGGTGCCGAGGAGAGCGCAATGATCTTCCAAACCTGGCAGAGGCCTGCGGATGGCACTGAGGGACTCTATGCAAGTAGAGCGATTTGACAGGGGCTCAATTTCAAGTGTATCATGTTCAGACTGAGGGAACAAAGACACGTTAGGTCCAACACTCGTGGGGTCGGAATCAATCACATGCATAATTCCTCCTGTGATTGAACCGATGACTCTAGAAAAAGCGGCGCAGCTTGGCTCAAACTTATGACGATAGCTGCTACGCTGCTAAACAGGTACATGTCACCACGATTCGAAGGGCATTGGAGGGCCGAGCGACAGCGAGGGATTGACTGAGTGAGGGAATCCGAGCCGTGCGCGTAGCATGCAGCATATGCAGCAAGAAAAGAGCATCGCAGAGCTTGCAGACGTCGGTTTGCCGCACATGCGGTGGCGGAGATGGAAGCTACCCTGCAGAGGGCCCAGCAAGCTTGTGTGACCGAACGCGCTGTCACTCGTGCTGAAGCTTGAGGACAGTGTCGAAGCAGACTGCTGTCGGGCGTTTTCGAATTGATGGCTTCTCACTGCAATGCTGGCCTCTTGCCCGCCATGTGTGAGACAGCAACTCAACGATTCCACGTGCCAGGCTGTCTAGGAAGAAAGGCGATCCTGTCACCTCGGGTCCGATCATCGAGGTGCGAGTGCAAATAGCTTGCGCCCAGAAGGCCTCTCCCACAAAACTTCATGCTGTGGTCGCAGATCGGTGATTCGAAATGGGAGATCCTGGTGTATCCTTCCGGCACAGATCTCAAGAGACGTCGTTCTCAGAGCATGTGGCATCATGATGTAGCGAGATTTGATCAGGTAACGAGCGGTGCAAGGATGGCTGGATCCGTGTATCAGTTCGATGCACAGAGGGCGAGCCTGAGACCAAGAGATGTGCTTAAAGGTGGGAAGATAAGTCGGAGAGGTTTTCAGGGGAAATTTTTATCAAACAAACTCACTCTCACTCTCACTCTCACTCTTTCTCTCTATCTCTCTCTCCCCTGTCTCTGTCCTTCCCTTCGTCCGTTCTGTCTTTTCAGGCAGGAAGTGCGAGCTCTGTACTCGGTGTCCGTGGTCAATGCCGAGTTCCCGGCGGAATTGGAAAAGGGGGAGTTGAACATGTGGGGTCGCCAGCCAGACGCTACGGCTAGTCAAATTGTCACGAGTTGCAGGGCATGTGCAGCATCAGTCTAGTGTCGGGGATTGTCGGGGTGATGAAGATTCAACAACTTGGATTTTGCACGAGGTCGCTTGTCTTCTTGGTAAACAGCCATGTGTTGTGAGTGCGCACCTCGAGTTCACCCCTCTTGGACCCGCCAGGCAGGTGAAGTGAAGCCGGAATCCTAGCCCGTTGTACGCCTCTGTTGTCGCTGTGTCACACGAGAGTCGGCCAATTACATGATGGATGATATTAGGAGTGATGAACCGTAAGAAGTCTTCGAGCACAGGTTGAACAGATTGGAGCCAAGGCACCGGCTTGAGGAAGAAGCTACGTTTACCAGCGGTGACGGTCTGCGCTTCAGTGTTCTGGAGTGTTGCGGTACGAAGGGTCGCCCTCCGGTCTGTGCACCTCCCGGTGCAAGCGCTGGGAAGGTTTTCTTTTGGTGATTGCCTCGGATTGAAGGTAAATTCTGTTTTGGACCACAGAGTTTTGCAGTCCTTAGCACCCTGCAGGCTGGGGCTTTGACAACTTCATCCGCCAAGAGCGCCTGCCCATCACCAAGTCTGTAGAAGTCGCTATGGCAGTGACAGTCCATGACTAGGTGCAGGTGTTGTCTAGGCTTCCGGACGGGTAAGACCAGCAGCCGTGCTTATCCATGGTAACTTGGAGCCTGAAGAAGCGGGGTTGCACGAACGCTTCAATGGCAAAGCCCTTCACGTTTCCAGAATTATCGGATCCACGTGTGGCAGTTGTTCTTGACAGACTTCAAACTTCAACCTGTGCAGTAGCGGAGCAGGGCTGGCACGGGTTCAGCACGCTACCTGTCCACACAGTCTTCCAACCATTGTCGTCAAAATTTACACTAATCTCGACACCCTCAAGGACGGATCGAACGAAAGGCTTCGCAGACGATGTTGTCATCTTCGAAGCCACCGTCACGGTTCTTGGCCGGGAGGCAATTGTAGTCGCAGTCACAGCAAGCTTTTTCATTTGGGTTCGAGGTGGCGGGCCAACATGTGCGACATTCCCTTAAATCTTCCAGCTTGCTGGACTGCGGATTGGCGTATGAAGTGATGAAAGCCAGAGCTTCAAGTCATGTCGACGGCTCGTACTCCGCGCAATAGGACCGTAGGACCCTGCTTCACCTCCAGTAGCAGATGCTTCATCGAATTTCTCCAGGAAATCAGACGCCAACCGATCACTGGAAGCGAGTCCAAAATGATTCACTCCGAAGAGCTGGCCTCTGACCTGAAGGCAACTTGTTGGACTCGAGTCATGTCACAATACCATCTGTTTTGAGTGCAGTCGCAGGCATTGTGGGAATCTGGCCAACATGCTGCCCGGAAACCTAGTTGGAAGGTTTTCGTTCGCAAGTTGTGTGTTGCTTCAGGGTTTTAGTCTGGGGATTTGACGCTCCCTTTGTATCATGGCTGTTCAAAATTTGCGAACCCCGCATTCGGGAATGAAGTGGAGGGACAGCACAGCTCTAGAGGAAGTGTCGGTCGGTTGAAAACCCAAGTAATTATGGTTCAGTAAGATGTTAAGGAAGGGTCTAAGTTTATGAATGAAGCACTCAAAGAAATGAGACTGTGAAGTTATAGTCAGGAGACGAGTACTACTATCCACCAAAGCAGTGGCTTCAACGAAATCAACATGATGTTGAGTTTGAGCTATCTCTTACAGTTCTGGACAACCTCATAGCTGAAGCAGTTGTTGTCAGGTCAGCCATGTTCAATTTCGGGCTCGTTAACCGAGCGACGTGATATCACCAGTCTCCCGAGCGAAGCAACTTTAGTAGAACCGGTGTGGCATTTTTCGATATCGGTTGCATGTTGTATGGGAAGATGGAGACTGGTTATCTGCATTATATCTATATTAATCTATATCTCTATCTACATGTGTGCACATATGTCTATACACATACATGTGTATATGTATATGTATATGTATAGGTATATGTGTGTGCTTATGCATAGGAATATGTATATGCATAGGTATATGCATATGTATATGCATATGCATTTGTATATGCAGTAGGTTGCATGATCTATATATATATATATCTCTCTCTCTCTCTATATATATATATGATATATGATATACATATACACACACACACATATAAATATAAATAAATACAAATAAAAAAAATAAATAAATTATATATATATATATGTATATGTGCACGCATACATGCATACATATATATATATATGTACATATACATATACATATATAGGTTCATACATAATAAGTAAGCTCTCCAAATGCTCAGAAAGCGCTTCTGAACGGTCTGGAAAGGTTATCAAAAGCCAACATGCCCAAGTTTAGCCGAAAAGGCCCGAAATACCCAAAACGACCAAATTTGGTGGGCCTGGCAAGTGTCTATGCTTACTTATGTCGCCAATCATTGCTTTACCTAAGGCTAGTGGCGGAATCCACTTTATCAGGACCCCGTGGTATTAGACGATCAATACCTTGAACGAGCTGACCACCATCAAGGCCTTTAACTTTACATTGCGGGAGGCATCCATTTCATCCAATCAAGCCGCAAAGGAGACTGTCAATGTAAACTGCATCATGCTCCATCTGTATATGTTATATGCAATCGGAAGATTTTATACAGATATATATATATATATATGTGTGTGTGTGTGTGCTGTTGAAGTGTACGCATATGTGTATGTGTGTATGTATGTATGTATGTATGTATGTATGCATGCATGCATGCATGCATGCATGTATGTATGTATGTATGTATGGATCCCTACAAAAAAAGATTCTATTGTTTGGGGTGCGTCACGTTCCCTGTGGGGAATGTAGCCAGCGGCACCGCAAGGGCACCTAAGCGCACCTAAGCATAAGGATACAAAGCATAAGGATACTACTTTGGATGCACATTACAAAGGCCTCCATGTCGGACTCCCCAAAACCTTCAGTATTTGCGAGATCCATTTGCTTATGTGCTTGTTTGAAGCGTTTTTGCAAGCAAGGTCTGAAGTCTCTTGAAGTGTCTTTGTAAGCACGTTTTGAAACGTCACGTGTTCCGCAGGTTGCAAGAGCTCGACAGAAGCGTAGGGAGTGGAGGGACAAAATGTGTGGGGGTGGGGCGAGATCGAAAATCTGTCAAACCCGAGTCGCCAAAATCAACTCGGGGCCCGCTGGGTCGTTGGAGCAGATCGCAGATTTCTTGCTAGTTAGGCGAAGCATTATCCCGCACCCTGTGGAGTCAGTGCCTCATTAGATGCAAGCTGTCTGGCACGTAGATTTTTATCGGGATGATATTGTGCTACAGGTCTAGGGTGAGGCACCGGATTTGAGACGGTGGGGTTGGGTTCATGGGTCGAATATTCTGCAAGGTGTGCTTTTTGTCTGTGTGCAGGCGGCAGATCAGGCTGTCGACCAATGGGTGAGCATGTGGACAAGTCGGTGGATGGATTGTGACAAAAACGTCTTTGTCCTTATTAAGGTGGTGAATGAGCGGCAGAATGTGTTGAGTTTTGGAAGGGGTGTGAGAGAGCTGTCAATCTGCTCGTCGAAAACGGCTGAAGACTTGATGGTCCGAACAAGTGGGGGGCAATTGATCATGTGTCATCTTGTTTGGCGTTTGGGGGGTGTGGGGGACGAAGTTGTATGTGCAAGCAATGGCTGCATGCCTTGGTGGATGTAGGTGATTTTACATGATTTGAAAGGGGGGTCTTCCCAGGATCTGACGCTGCAAGTCGGCGAGACGCAGCACTCCCGGCTTGGCTAGAAGTCTCGTGATTCCGCCGCCAGAACTGAATCGAAGCTTACAGGCTTAAAGCTTTTAAGCTTCAGTGGCGGTCGCCAGGCTGCAGGTCCACGGCCTGATCTTGGCGGCAAGGCTGGGGCGGCCCTTTTTTCAACTCCACAGAAACCGCAGGCAAAAATCGCAGCTGCTTCAACGTAGCAGGTCTGCGGTCTTCTCGCGCATGCTGGCCTCTGACATGTCGGAGGCCTGCCCAAGAATACATGGTTCACCATCATTCGGTCAACAACGCCTTGTGTTCAAACTTATCCTATGCACTTGGCATTGCCTTCGACTCTGCTGTGCCATGCTGGTCCCACCGGTCGGACTTGTGATAGGGATGTCGTTGCTCGAAGTCGGCAAGCGGAGTCGAAAGCGGTTCTTCCATTGTTTAAGAGAGCACATTTGTGTGCACGTGCGCATGTCTTCTAGTGACAATGCAACCATGCCGCATCAGACGCATTGGCTACCGTCCCTCGCAACTACGTGTATCCACTCCGAGAAACACCTCTCAAACGCATGAGACACCTGCAATCAACGGTGCGCATCTCCTTCGTGGCGTAGAACACATTCTAGAGTAGCAGGAAGCGAGGGATCGAAGCTGTAACATGCGAAGTTGCATCCCGTCACCGCCGTCGGATGTCAGGGCTTTGCAGTTGATACTTTTAGATCTCATTTTCGGGACTCTTAGCAAGACCTGCTTACTGAAGATGCGGCATCGGGCCAGTTGCGTGGAATCAAGGACGACAGCTCACCAATGCTGACCAATGCTGACCAAGTAGACGTTCAGGTCGAGCGTTTTCTTAGCCTGGCTGTGCATCAACAAGCCTCAGCCAAAGTGCAGACATGGAATACTTCTTCTGGCTACAATGACCGACTCCCCTAAACTGCGAGATGCGGGCAAATTATACGAGCAGCTTCAGGAAAAACGTCGAACGCAACCATGCCCTGGCAAGCAAAGCAATCAGGCACGACGAGGTCGTGGTTCGTCTCGCCCTGCAACATCCCAACAGCTGACAAAAGACACATCAGTCCAAATGATGCAGCAGCCTAATGCTGATAAAAGGTCACGCGGTCCAAGTTTCGATGGGCCAAGCGGGGTCTACCCTCGGCTTCCCCCCGCACATCCTCTGCTCGTTGCTGGATGATGTCACACTGCACAAAGCTTGCTGCGCTTCAGATTCTCATTTTTTCCGTGTCCGTTCTCGTGTGGGAGCAGAGAGTTTGCGCCTTGTGGGTCTGTTCTTCTCGGCTCCGGCTCCGGGATCCCACGGAGTGCTCTGTAGCGTCGAGCGTTCGGCTGCGGTGTGCTAGTCAGCTTCACGTTCCCACAAGGTGGCTGTCATTTGGTGAGCCTTGTGCCAGGCGAAGTCGAGGGTCATCAGGATAGTCGACGCAAGGAGCTCGGCCCTGTTGTAGGTTTGGCGGGTATGGGAAGTTCGAATCGTTTCCAAGGCGGATGCCGAGACAATGCGCTGCCTTTGTGAATACATGTACACAGGCCCTGCCCTAAGCAGGCTTGTGACTGTGGTTAGCAAGACCTTGGCAGGTACGGTGCGGAACAACCGCCCATTTGAGAATGCAGACTTGGCTGGGTCTTTATTGCAGGCCAGGGGCAGACACCTGCATCGCAGTTTATCTTGCCAGTGAAGCTGCAGGCGGCAGCGAAGTACGAGGCACGTCATGGCGAAAGTTTCGCCCGGCTTTGTGATGCTGTGACCGTCACGTAGATTCTGTCCGTGCAGGTTCACGGGCTGGTGCGGTGGTGTTCTGCCAAGGTCCCCGCCCGTTGTCGGCCAGCTTGTCTGTCTTGATCCTGTCGGTCCCGCAGATAGCCGCAACTCTGGGCGTCGACACAGCAGCAGAGTGGCTTGTTCTCGCATCGCAGATTGGACCCCAGGCCAAGTTCTGGTGAGAGCATTGGGAGCATAGCGAACCAAATCGGCTTGTTTTGCCGGACAGGCCGATGCATTGAAAACCAAGAGCCCGGGACGGCACATGGAGCTGCACAAGTCCGGCGTTGTGCATAAGTTTGAGCCCTAGGTGCGTTCACCTAGCGGCCAGCAACCTCTCAGAGGTTCAGGCATCCGGGAGCTGCGCAGTGAAGCTCCCCACCGGCGATTTCTAATCCCCGAAGCCAGCAGTCTCATCAGTCCGCAGTGCTGTGCAGGTGACGGAGGGCTGGCAGCGCTTCATGAAGAATCCTCGCGTCCTCAACCCAGCGTGGTGCGACATGCGGATGAACACTCGGCCTCTGAACTTCAGGTGGTGTCGGAGGTGGCCCCCCTGTTGTTTCAGGCAATGAGTGGATGGCATTCGACCCACCTTCTGTAATGCAATTGGGGAATGGATACCGCAAATGTGCAGGCCATCAGCCCTCCACCTGGCAAGAAGAGGCGGCGAGCTTGCCCGGTGCCCTTGTACGGTACTGCGGCACACATACTCGGCACCTGCATAAGCAATTTGAGCATGAAGTCAGTTCACACGCACTGCGTCCAAGGCGAAAAGCTGAGCTAATCCGAGAGTCGGCAAAGCCGCAACTTCCTTGCCGTGAAAGAGACATGCTCCCTTGAATTGAAGTTGCGTGTGGTTGTGAGATAGCGCATATGTTTGAGATGGATCTATCGTCATGTGGGAGCCAAGCTTCACCTCCGTGCATTGTCTGGAATAGGAGGCGTTGTGCAAGGGCAAATTCGTGCAGTGACATGCTCCTCCAAGGCAGTTAATCTTCGATATTTCGAGACAGCTGTACCAGCGAGCAATGCTGCTGGGGCGGAAGGTCGGTAATGAGATGCGCCGCAAGCAGCTTTTAAAGCCCTTGCTAGCATCTTTTCTAGTTCGCGCTGGCAAAAAGCGAGCATGGAAAGCCGCTTCGCTTCATCCTGTTTGCCACATCGGTCTTTCCATGTGATTTCCTCCACTGCACCACGTGGACTAGGTTATGTTTTGGTCTGTGGGTTGCAGTTGCGGGAAAACATCGCTGCAGAACTCGCAGCGTCGATAAAGCATGTGCAACTGCTTCTCGGCGCAGGCGAGGTGTCTTGCACCACTATACTACGAGCAGGAGCGCCTTCTTGGGGTTCTATGCATGGTAGCGAGTGGCTTTCCGAGCGGATGAGATGGGTGTAATTGCTTTGGGCTAGGCTTGGTTTCTGGATGTGATTAGATATTCGCAAACATGCGGTGCAGTTTGAAGATTAGAAGAGATGATTCATGAGCCCGCATGTCGGGTTTACCCAACTCAGTCTAGCAATGTGTAACGGTGCTTTACTGCATTCGATCAAAGCTTGCCGACAAAGGCGAGGACAGGTTGGGTGTAGTTTGTGTTGCTGACCAAAACCGGTTCGACTGCTCGGCTTCGGACATGAGGTTGTTGCTACACTGACGCGGTGTGGCTGTCAGGCCCATTTTTGCTTTGCATGTCTTATCGGCAATTTCGCGGCTGTGCAGATGGACAGGAGCATCCCGCATTCCTTAGTTGCTTAGAGTGGAATTTTGGTTGCCTTGACTTGCACTCGATAGGAAGGCCCAAGATGATGAACTGCTTCGTATATGTTTGCTGGCATGACGAGTGCCGCTGTTCCAGGGCCAGGTTGCACTCTAGGCTCCCTGTCGCTCCCGGTCCCCTGTTTAGGCCGTTTGCTTCTGCATAGAAAGGTGTGGCACTTGAATGCAGACGAGCAATCCCCCTTGCTCCAGACAAGGCAGGAGGGCAAGACATTGGAAGGGAGCTTGTGTGAGTGCTCGGACAAAGTTGGCATGGGCGCTGACATATGCAGTTGGTAGAAGCAGGGTGCGAACAAAACCACCCGCAACGGCTGCTACGCTCCAAAGGCGCGGCTCAGAGTGGTCGCATGTTTGGGGCATTGTGCGAGCCCTGGCATTTGGAGGTTTCCTTTTGAAAAAGTGGCATCGGTGGCAAAGAGCCCCGTGTTTGGATGTCCAAGGTATCAGATAACATCGACTGGGCGGTTTGCCAGGGAGTGAAATTGATCCCTCTCCAGCCTCGCCCTTAGCGCAAGGTTTTCAGGGCTGTCATGGCTGCATCGGGAAGACTGCCTTCTGAGGTTCTTCGACTTGGACGGTATCGTCAAGCTGAAATCTATGGACTGATACATGTGCAGACATGCGCAGACATGCGCGTTGTAGGCCCAGAAGCCCGATGCCGCAGGAGGGAGGCGGCATGGGCTGGCCTGACGTTGACAGTGGGGATCTCATGGCTCGTTTCAAGCTGCAAGTTTTCCGTCCGGTTTCTCTTCGGTACGTCGGGTGAGCCGAGGCTTCAGCGTTGCCTACACATCATCTGACGTGATCGCCGAGTATCTAAGGCAGTTCTTGCTGCGATTTGCTGCGACTGTACAGTGCGATTCATGTGCAAGTCCTGCACATTCAGCAGGCTCGGACATCCCCCGAAAGAGGAAGACTTGAAGGCTCACTTTTTGTCCCTGCTGCTAAGGCTTGCCAGGTCTTGAGGGTACCGCATTCTTTAGACTTTAGAGCGTTTGTCACAAAACGAGGAAGGCAGCTAGCACGCCTGTTCAAGTGTTCATGTCAGTGGAGTTCCTTCACCTTGCTGTACGAGCGGAAATACAGTCGTGCGGACAAGCCTGGGCCTGGAGACATCATGAGACCTCGGCCTGCCAGGAGTATGAGAGAAAGGGCTTGGAACTGAGTCCGACGGGTGGATATTCTGCCTGCGCGAAGAACTTGAAGATTTGCGTCAAAGAGCGGCTCTGAGGCAAGTCAAAGGGCAGCTTCGGCCGGCGCGGCTGGCCCATGAAGTGGTGGTACGACTCCGCCGGGGCCCTCGGTCTTGGCGGCCCGGGAGGGCCCTGGTTCCGGCGATTGTTCCGGGTTGGGGTTGAGGAGGTGACTTAGTGGACGAGAGCGCTGGGAGGCAATCATGCAAGAGGTTGTCAGACAGTGAGCTGGGACGGGTGTCGAGTGCAGAAACATGAAGACAAACAGCACAGGTCCTGATCGAGCTCGCGCTTCTTTTCGGCACAGATGCAACGACGCCGTTCATCCAGGAGCGGCCACGGGCAGTGGACCAACCTGACACCACTTCGCATTGGAAACCGCTGCGCAGCAGATCCTGGAAGGTTTTGGATCCAGTGTAGAGTCCCGCTGCAGCTGCGGCTAGTAAGGCTAGTAACTAGTATCGCCACACATAGCACCGGTCTCGAGGGTGAGGCGCAGGGATTATGCATGGACGTGGGGAATGCCGTGACAGGGGGCGCGGCGTGTGAATAGTCTGGTTCCAACTCAGAGGACTGATTAGATTGTGCTCCGTGCCAGAAGCACAAGCTCTACCAGCAGATCGGCCTCCGAATGGGCCAGGCATCCGAGCGTGGAGTCGAAGGTCTTGACCCTTGCTATGCTAACTTGAGGAAACAGCGCGGCCTTGCAATACCACCCTGGCCCTAGCACCAAGAAGAGGCTGCGCTGACGTTGAGACTGGCAGGATCCCATTGAGTCCATCACCAGATGGTTCCGAGATCAGCTTCTGGGCTGGATTTTGCTATTCTCCGTAGCAACCACCTCGCCCACTCCGGGAAGAAAAGAGCAGGAATGTCTTCTTGCACGGTCTGTCCTATTGTGCAGATGTAAAGACATCATGCTGGCAATGGATCCAAGATTTTGCAAGGCTGCAGTTCTGAGCTTGACAGGCCTCCGCGCTTGAAATCCGAGGCTATACTCCCGGAAGCTGCGCTGGAAAGAGGTGTACCTGGAGGCGGAGAAAGGGCGAGGGGAGACCGGACGGGGAGACCGGACGACACAAAGGGCTACGTCTGCCGGAGGCTTTGTCTCCGGTCCTTGCAGACCTGGCCGAGAAGGAGCCGGGCCCGGGCCCGGGGCTCCCCGGGGCCCCCCCGGGTCCCCCCCCCCGGCTTCGTTTTGCCTGCTCATCTCTGCTCCCTCTGCTAGCACTGGTCGCAGAGCCGTCGGTTTCGCTCTGAGGGAATCGCATCGAGAACCCATCATGCCTGTGCGGCACTTCATCAACCTGATCATGCAAAGATCGAAGTCGTTTGTGCCCCAGACTGACAACAGCTGGTGGAAAGCAAGGAGAGTAGTCAGACCCGTCGTATCCGAAATTTCTCGCAGCAACCTGTAGAACTTCTGGTGTTTATACAACCTTCAATAAGTTTCAGATCTGCAGCGACTGTTGAAGCGGAAGATTGCCCCAGCCCAGAAGAGGACGGCGATTTTGGCCTCGCTCTGCAGTGCTCGCGGAAGGCTGCGACTTGTGATGGTTCGTTGCCGCGGTGTATTTCCAAAAAAGTTTTGGACATAGCCCTCAACCCCACAGCCCAGCCATGTGCTTGATTACACAGCAGTTGATCGTCGAAAGTTCTCCTGTAGTTAAGTGTGGGCCCCTCCACCTAGAGGCTTTGAGCTTTTGAAAGCTGCAGCTCTGCAGGTCTATGAACAGGATGCTCGTTCCCTCAGGAATGTGCGGAGCCAAGGCAAGCCGTGATGCGGCCGTCAAGAGCCGTGCCGCCTAGACTCTGTCTGGCCTAACTTGCAGATGGCCGAAGATAGCGAAGCTCAAAAGACTCCAACTGCACCCCGAGCTGAGCAAAGGCATCTGCCCACTGCTGAGATAAGGTTGTCATGAACCTGGAACGACAGCGGCGACAGAACGGTGAGAAGGCAGGTACTCTCAGTAAAGACCTTATGTCTTGGGCAAGTCTAGGTGGGGAGTTTTTCTGTTTGCACCCTTCGCTCATGTGTCTTTCGGTTCGACCGCGCGCTGCTGCCGTCGAAGCACACGTTGCGTGTGATAATGCGATGCGGCCACTGGTCGTTTGCCCTGTGAACACGAACTATCGCCACGGAGGAGACTGGACATCCCCCTATCCTCGAAAGCACGGACCTAGCGTCGAGAATTTTCCTTGCTTGCTTTTGGTTGATGGTCGGTCATGATGCCGTGTCATCGTCAGTGTCTTTTGATCCGCTCAATTGGATGCATCATCGCTGATTGAGCCAGTGCTTATTTCTGAAGCTGATGTCGTCAGGTTCGCTTGCTGGGCTTAAGTTACGCAAATTGCGGAAACCGTGCACGGAAGGCTGTGGCCATCGATTCCTCGCTGCATCAGGCGGCTGAGTATCTGAACTGTAATCCCAAGTCAGGTCCCGGCCTGTCTTTGTCGCGCCCATAAATACCTGACAACTTAACTGCAGCGCAATTCACAGTCTTGAGCATCGCCGGGAGTCGTTGACACAGTCTTCTCTTCTGTCGCAACTGTCTGGGTCATCTTCCCTTCACCAGGAAGAGGGAGACCCTGCTAGTGCCTTCTTGGCATATTGGAGTGCATGCATCAAGGGCTCATTGGCAGAGTCCAGGTGAGCATGGTTACCTTTTGCAGTTCCGTGAAAGGCAAACCAGGAGCGGGCCAAGGAGCTGCCCGTGACTTCGAGCCTCCTCCTGCGCTCTGCGGCGTTAGCGGACAAGGCCTCCTGCAGTGGGCTCTGACCGCAACTTTCGAAGGTTTGGGCGGGTTTTGGGGATCGCCGCTTTGAAAGCTTTGGTGGCCTGCAGGATGTGACGGGGTGACCAAATGTAGAACCTCGTTGAGCTAGCTCCTGCACATGGATGTGTCGACGACGAAGTCTTTAAGCGGTATGTCTTGAACACTCTCCGCGTGTTGTTCGTACCCCGTAGATACTTCTGTTCCTCATCAGACTCGGTGTGGCAAGCATGTGGCTGTGGCGATGCGACGTGGAGCTGCTTAAGACGGGTGAACAGTGCAGTGCACATCCCCTCCCTCCGAGAGTTGCCCTCGCATGGCTCGCTACAGGCCGTTCGTCTAAACACGAGCAGCATGTTCTTTGCATGTAACTTCGTTCCTAACTTTTCTGAAAGAGCTTCAAATGCGCACTTGCAGATGTGTTTAGATTACCGTCAGGGCAGAACCCTTCAATCACTCATCATGTGGTCCGAAGCCTGGGAAAGCACATCTATTCCCAAAGCAAGCTTTAGGGTATCTAGCACGCTGCTGACGGGCCAGCACATTATCATCTCAGCGTTCTCGGTCTTCATTTTCTCAACTTCGTGCATGCGTTGAAATGCCGGAGACCAAATCGCAGGAGGCTGGAAAAGAAGGTTTGCCTCAGAAGTTCGCGCAACGCGCTGCATTGAAGCAACCACAACGGACGCAAAATTGAACTGGACCAGGGCCGCTGTTCGAAGTCTTGGACCGCCGAAGTCAACAATGCTGGGTGTGACGCAGACAAGATTCAGTTTTGACGGGCAGTAGGTTCAAGCTATGCCTGCATCGGTTCAGGCTATGCCTGCATCTGTGCTGTATGAGCAGTAGGTCTTTGAAATCTGTCAGAAATCTGATGGATCGCATAGAGACACACAGTGACACACAGCTTCCCAAGATAGGAGCGACAGTTGCATGCTTGAGCATGCGAGCCACTGCAGCGATCCACGCCACGCATGAGCAAGCGGGATTGCGGCAAATCCATGCGAAATGTCTGAAGCCCACTTTTCCGGACTGTGCCGCTTTGAAATTCTCTTACATCAATGCTCTGTTGCAATGCAATAGGACCTCATTGCAGGTGTGGCTGGACGTTCATCTCGAGGATGTCTCCCGCTTGGGCGCGCCCGTGTCTACTCAGGCAAAGCTGCCCAGACGGCGATAACAACTTTGGCAGGGTTTAGGCGTGAGGGCAGCATTGTAGCGTTGACGGTTTGAAACCGTACTGCCTGAACTGCATCTAGCAGGCTAGTCATACACATTTAAGTGTAGGCACTCATGCAGGATTTGGTTGCCAGGCTTAGCTTTTACTTAGGTTGTCGCGGGCAATGTCTTTTGATGCATGCGGGGGCAGCGGGAGCCGCCGTGCATGGTAAAACGGCGCTGCACGTGTTGTTCTGTGACGATTTGCGCTCGGATTTGGCAACCCTCGGCTGGCGTCAGCGTCCTCGATCGCGTGAAGCGGCCCTGCGCATGTGGTGCTGTTGTTGCGAATCGCTTCTGAAGCGAAACAGTTGATCCTGGCGGTGGTCCTGGCGTCTTTAAGGGTTTCCTGGTGGCCCCCTGTTGGTCTTCGGGCGGTCTCCTGAATCCTCTTGTTGGTCTCCTGGTGGTTCGGCGGTCTCCTGGTGGTTTGGCGGTCTCCTTGCGAACTCTTGGTCGTTTCTTGGTGGGGTCCGGGTTGTCGTGGTCGTCCCATGTGTTTGGGGATCTACGCCGGCATGATACTCGTAGAAGGGACTGTGGTAGGGCAAGAGTTTCTAGAAGGATTTGGAGAGAAGTTTTAAGGGAGCTAAAAAGAGCGTTTGTAGAAGGGTTCCTGCACGGGTTGATGGGAAGGTTTATGGACGGGTGTAGTTTAGAAGGGCTTTTGGAGAGCTATAGGAGGGCTTCTCAAGGTTTCCAGAAGGGTTTAGGAAGAGGTTTAGGAAGAGGTTTATGGAAGAATTCATAGTCGAGGAGTTGCGCGGATTGGGCATGGATTGGATGGGTGACCCGGTTGAATGAATGACTGGATGTCTGGACGGCAGGAAGGATTGACGGGTGGATGGAAGGGCTGGATGGGGGATGGATGGACGGGTGAGCGGGTGGGTGGATAAATGGATGAATGAATGAATGACTTTATAATGAATGAGAACGATAATAAATGACAGTGAGCGATAATGAATGATAGTGAATGAATGAATGGATGAATGAATGAATGAATGAATGAATGAATGGAAGGATGTAAGGATGCATGGATGCGTGGATGCATGGATGCATAGATGCATGGATGCATGGATGGACGGATGGATGGATGGAGGATGGATGAGGGGATGGATGCCTGGGTGGATGGATTGTGGATGGACGAATGACTGGATGGGTGAGATGATGTTCGGTGTTGCCTCGCTGGTCTAAACGCCTTTGCAGCACTCGCTCGCTAGCTTGTTTAGTTTGTCCATTTAAAAGTATTCTGCTGCGCACGGCATCTCTCCGATGTCTGCAGTTGTTCTCGGATCTTCGACGAGTTCTCTACCAACTTCTCGGCAGGACGGGTCCAGCATCAGAGGTTGCACCACTAGTGAGGTTCCGGGAGAAAGAGTAGGATGTGTGGCTGATTGGGACCGAAGGTTCTTCAATTAAATTTGTCCCTGAACAGCACACGCACGGTCGATGAATGCCATTTTTCGAAGGGACTCCATCACTGAGACGAAGGGAGACCATTCTGGCGTCGGTCTCTTAGCACGATTGCGAAGATTTTTTGCTCCATGATGGAACAGCTGCAGAAGAAAGACTTTGCTGGTGTCAGGTCACGGCCAGCAAGATGGTGTTGTCCGACGCAGGATCGCTTCCAGACGCCAAGGACCGTTGCATGCTGCGCAGCAATTCGAAGCAGCTCCGAGCTGATGACATGTCGGGCCACCAAACTACACCCTTCGTTTCTCAACGTAGAACCGTGGGAAGGCACATTCGAAGCTGCGTAGCCCGGAGGTGTAGTCTTGCATCTGGGAGGTGTGAGCGCATCGCACTTCAGGTTAGTTGGGCTGGCAACGTGACTGCACACAGGCTGTTCAAAGATGGACTTGGTCGCATCGATGGCAAATGCAGCTATCCCGGTCATGCCTCGACATTCGTCCGATGAGGGAACACCTTCCAATTTGGCAGTTGGGTTTGCCCTCAGGTTCCGGGCCATCGTCGAGCACAATCTTGTCCATGTGACTGGGCCGCAGACGCTGCTTCTGCTCGCAGGGCTAATCCATCTATACTGTAGCGTCCGGGAGTATTATGAATTATTAGTATTTGTCATTACAGTTTTTTTTTCGCCCGGTCCCACGTCCCGCAGCTGTTCTGATGCCAATAATACTACCACTGCATTACCAAACCTACAACCATTATCACCACTACCACTACTACCACTACTACCACTGCTACCACTGCTGCCACTGCTGCCATTCCTACCACTACCACCACTACCGACACTACTGACACTACTACTACTACTACTACTACTACTAATTACTACTACTACTAAAACTACTACTACTACTTCTACTACTACTACTACTACTAGTACTACTAGTACTACTAGTCCTACGAGTACTACTAGTACTAGCTACTACTACTGCTAGTAGCTTGTCTATCCTAAAGAGCCATTTGCAAAAAGTAGATTACTATTACTACTACTACTACTACTACTACTACGACTACTACTACTACCACTACTACTACTACTACTACTACTACTACTACCAATACTACTGCTACTGCCGCAACTACTACTACTACTACCACCACTACTACTACTACTACTACTACTACTAATACTACTGCTACTGCCACAACAACAACAACAGCTACTACTACTACTACTACTACTACTACTGCTACTGTTAATGCTACTGCTACTGCTATTGCTACTGCTACTGCTACCACCGCCGCCACCGCCACCACCACCACCACCACCACCACCACCACAGCAAACCCTAGACCTACAACTACAAAACCCGTAACTCCAGAACCCCAAACCCTGCTCGTCAAGCAGACGGAACACCCTAAACCCAAAGAATCCTGAGCCCTGAAGTCTAAATCCTCAAGCCAACAATAGCAGAAGTTGTGTGTTGAGCGGTTAGGTTGTTGCAGCTTTTGCTGGCAGATGGTTTTGGGAAGAACATTCGGTACCCTTGTCAGGGCCTTGTACCCGAAAGGCTTGTCGCCAAAACACTTGCAGGGCGGGGCGGGGCGGGGCAGGGCAGATTTTGGACAGGTCAAGCGCAAGAAAGTGAAGAGCAACCCAGCACCAGAAGGGGTCGAATCTGTCGCCTTCTCGGCATTCAGAGCGCAGCACCGAGAGCCGCCCACGGTGACCGCAAAAAGAACTACAACAAAGCTTTGACACTTTTGCTAGCTACCAGGCTGAGCCAGCAGAGATTGTGGTGCACCGGACCTTCAAGGCATCCTCCTTCAGTTGTGCTGAATCTATCGTCAAGCCGTGTTCCATGTCAATTTACGGTTGTGGAGAGAGGATGTTGCGTGGGAAAGCAGCCACGCTGAACCTTGTAGCTGTTGGCAACAACGGCCGTCCGATGCTGTGATGATGCAGGAGAATCAGAGCGATGATGCCGTTCCTGACTGGGCCCATGGCTCCTTTGCAGCCATCGTGCGGATCCCCAAATCTCGTACAGCTCAAAGATACGAGACCTAAAGCTCCGAGTCCAAAGGGGTGGCTTGCTGAGGTGCTAGAGTACGTGGCATCCCTGAACCAGAGGCGACCGAGCAACTGCATAGGAGTTCTAAGCTCTATTCGATGTGGTTCTTGTCTAGAAGGTCTGGCAAGCGTGATGTGTGCCTGCCGTTATCTTTCAGACGCTTGTGGATGCCAAACAAAGCTTAGACATGAAGAAGAAGACCCCTTGATGGAAGACGAGATCAACAGACCACATCAGCACAAAGCGGTGCTATTCGTGGGGTTCGTGGCCTCTGCAGCGGGTGCTTCACTGGCCGTTGATATCACGGCGTGCAGTGGCTATATTCACCGAGTAGATTGAGTTTTTTTATTGAGACATTGTGCGGCAGGCCGGAACAGCCCATGATCCGCGAACATGAGTTTGACACACTTGCGGCCACCCTCGCACGGGCCTTGACAGCAAGAGAGGCCTGCATCCACTCAGCAGACTTAGCAGACTTAACAGCTTTAAGCTCTTCTCCGCTGCTGTGTTGTGGGCCCGGCGGCACGCCCTTGGGCACCCTGAGGCCCTCTGCTGCGACACGGCGCTTCCCGGCGCGCCCCTGGGCAGAGCCTCGGCGCAGGTGCCATGCCAGGAGATGTGGTCGAGACAGATAGAGCAGCTTGTAAGTTGGGCGTGCCCAATCCCGGCGTCCAGAATCCATCGCGGGACCTGAGCCCTCTCCAGGTGCAGCAGCGGATGTACCAGGTCAAGGTGCTTGGGGCCGAAAGCTCCCAGTGTCGGAGCTCCAACTCTGCGAAGAGTTTGAGAACCTTCCGGGGCCAGGAGCTGCTTTACAGCCACATCACGACTCACTTCCATGCGAACTCCGAGGACCGACCGATAGACGGGGTCTGTGCACATCGATTGATTTTAGTGGTTGTTGATTCTTGCAGTCCTAGATCTTTAGCTTCTGACGTGCTGTCATCTGCAGAGTTGGTTGCTTACCCATCGCCGAGAGGAAGCAACAGTTTCAGCCTGCAAACCAAGTCACATACCCCAAGTTGCACTCTGCTTCCCACGAAGATCCGCCTACCGCCACGTGGGGCTTCTGTGGCGACCTACTTCCAGGCCATCGGTCCAGGGCCTTGCTGCAATGCTGGGATTCCTCGGTCTCCAAAACCGCCTCTCCAATCGAATTGGGACCATGCATGCTTCGTGCTCCGTGCATACGCCTCTCAGACGGCTGCTCACCTTCTGATGGACATTGCGCGGCTGCAGCTCGGCTTGACCGCACCACCAGACCGGAAGCTGCAAGATGTCATGGGCGTTCTGCTAAGTTGCCGCGGCCTCTTTCATGTTCCGAGCCCAGGCTCTGGCTTGACGCAGACTTCGGACATGGGTCCATGGATGGGTCCTAAGAGAGTGAGAGGCAGGCAAATTTGCCGCGAGCAGACGCTGAACCATCCAGATTAGGTCTTTCTCCCCGAGCCGCGTGAGATCTTCTCGGCTCAGATCTTCGCGGCGCGCTGGGAAAGGACGTATCGAAAAGGTCACCTGAGATCCATGACCCCAGCAATCAAGAAACAGTTCGAACTATGCGAGAGTTTGTGCTGTGCAGATGCGTGGGCATTTCAGCACCAGGCGCTTTACTTGGCCGGTGCGTACGAATCCTGGGAGCTGTGCTGCTGGCATGTTTTGGGAGCTTTTCGCACTAGGTTGTGTCTTGAATCACTTTAGAGGACTTCTGCATGCTCACTTCAGAAAGCGTGCTGTCAGGTCGTTCCCGGAAGGGGACTCGGCTTGGCAATGGGAGGACCAACATCCCCAGCCCGACTGATGCTTTCGGACACGCCTGACCATATAAGCTCATGTCAAGATCGGTTGGTGTGTTCCACAGTATATGTATGTGTGTATATGTATATGTACACATACATACATACATACATACATACATACATACATACATACACACGTACATGCATACAT